AGGAGGAGGAAAGTGATAATGAAATATATGAGAAAGTTTTTCCTATTATCTCCACAACCTTACGGGGAGAGCAGTATTTGCAAAAGACAGAGCAAGTTTAGAGTTGTCTACTTTGGAATAATCCAGTGGGCTTCCTCGTTGCCTGCTCCTTAAGAGAGGATGGTTTTCCCCCTCCCCAAAGGCTTAGCTTCACCCTCTCTATATAAAGTGTGGTGTGTGTGCGTGCGCGTGTGTGTAAGTCTGCGCGGTCTGAATCATAACTCCAGAGAAGGCGGCGCTGGGCAGCAGCCAGTAACGTCGTGTCTAGGGGAGGGTGCTGTGCGTGTGGCTCTCCCCGGCCTGCCTGGATGTGGTTGTAGCCAAATCATTGTTGGAACCATCGTTTTTTACAACTGACGGGCAGTGGGTTTGTTTGGGTTTTTTTTCCAATGTGAAAATGTGCATTTGAGCGAGAGAAATAGAAGAAGTGGTGGACCAGAAGCGTTCCTCTGCTTAGTTTTCTTCTTTTTTCCTCCTCCCTTTCCTGTCCTCCTCCTTCTCCTTGTTGTTGTTATTATTATTATTTCCCCCCATTCTCAGTTCTGGAAATCCTGATTCAGCTGGTTGTCATTGCATGGCAGAGTTTCCCTCTGCGCTGTTCCAAAGACACACGCCTCCCTCTTGGAAAGCAAAAATACTGGGAGCTTTATACACAAATCTCATTGAAGATGTGTATCCAAGATTTCAAGATGGTATTTGGTGATGTGTTCCCGCTGTTGCAATCTGGGTTCTCCCTGACTTTTCCTGCTCAGCTGATTGGGTGGGATGGGCAAGAGAGGAGACCTTCCCAGGGAGCATTAAAGGATCTCTGGTTAGGAAACTGGTAGCATTGCATTTAAAAATGAATACCCCTCCATGCATTTTTTTCTAGGAAGCATTTGCATCAAAGAATAACTCTGTTCTCCACTATATGGAGAACCATTAGCCTGGACACCGCTTCCCTGTTCTCCCTTATGATCTATTTGCATGCTTAGAAACCAAACATAAAGAAATAAGGTCATAAGTAAATAAATCCTGCTAAGTTTACCATGAATAATTGTGGAATTATTCCATGAATAATAGGCAGGAATGAACAATTGCACAAAGGGGTGGTCTTGCACAACTAACAACAAGAAGGCATCAAGAATGGAGGCCTTGATGTAAACATTTGCAGCCTACATTCTTTCTTAGCTAGCTGTTCCAGTGTTAAATCTCTGTTCTCCGTCTTCCCCCAAAAGAAGGAGTACGGATGATCTGCGGTGCCTCATTCACCATCCTGCTGATGAGAGAGGACGGGCTGGCATCTGAGGGGCTCTTATTGGCTGGCCAAGCTGGCAGGCCCACTCTCCTCCAGGCATTGGGCATCTTCCTTCATGATCAATTGGACTTGGACTGCAGGAAAACCAAAGACCAGATTCATGTAGGCATCTGTTCATGCCATGCCTGACTGTATACAAAACACTGTTTATTCTCCATGCTCCTTGTATACACTGGTATATCGCTGTTCAGGAAGACCACTAGACCTGCCATTCAGAGCCCTTCCAAAGTCTTGTAGACTTTCCGTGCAACCCTCCCCCCCCAACTGATCGTGATTTAAATTGGGAAAGAGATATATAGTATTCCTGGTCCTGTGGCAAATGAAAGCAATAAAGGTTTCCTACAGTTTCTGCTCACAGGGAGTTTTGCATGGCTGTGATTTCCATTGCTTTGACTGCTTTGGGAGGGAGGCGGTGCCAGTTTGCATTTTCCATGGGATCCTTTTACCCAGCACCCCATTCCCTTGCAGCCTTTGAGAGCTTCTGAGCTGAGGTGAACCTGACTTGGCCTGCCAGTTTCTCCTTCTAGCCCAAGTGATGGAGCAACCATTAATTCTGTACATCCAAATGTACCGTGGGTGACAGAATTGGGGGGCGGGGGTAGAGGACCCGCCCAGGATGGAACAGGAGGGACTTTTCTTAGTGCAACATGTGTGTTCCTTCTCCCTTCACCCGCACCCCTCCCCACCCACCCGATCTGTCAGGCAGGCACCGTGGGACAGGGGTCTACCTGTCTTCTGGAAGAGTGGTACACCCGTGCTCCAAAGTAACTCAAGTGACAGGTGAATAATGTGCAGCTCCTCTCTGACCCCTTGAAAGGTGGCTTTAAAAAAAGGAGGAAGCCCCAAAGGCAGGTGGGAAGAAAACTTTAGTGGGAACTGAATGCTTGAAAATCCACAGCAGGGTGCCCTGTCCCAGGTCCAGAAGCTGTTTTAAAAAATGACCCAGATTAAATGAGAATTATGAAGAAGCAAAACACGGGACAGACACCTTCTTTCCTCTAAACAAAAACATGGATGGTTCCCCTTGCTCCACACAGAAACCAAGCTGCAGTCTTGCCCTGACACATCCCCAGAGGCAGACAACATGTTTGCTTGCCATCCCGGGCTGCTCCTTTGCACCAGATGTGTGCTGTGATCTGACTTTTTGAGTTGGGGGTCGGGGGAAGAGAGACGTCTGCAGACACAATAAAGATAAAATGTACCGTCACTGTCTCTGTGTCCTCCAGGCCTCTTGCTCAGAGGACCATCAGGCACAGACTTCTGTTATGTCTGCTTGCAGGCTATGGGAACAAGCAGCCCCAGCTGTCTTCAGAGATGAATATCCAATGTTTTTTCTCTTTTTATTGGTGAAATACAGACACAACGTAAGGCAGGGCTACCACATCTGGGCTGCCAACCTGTAGAGGAAGAGTAGATGTCAGTGGAGAGATACAAGCGGTCATTCAAGAATTTTGCAGCCCAAATATGGTGGCCGTAAAGGAAGGGACAGAGGGCCACCTAAGACATTTCTGTAAGCCATAGAAAGGCCAGCTGTTCCTACATGGCTGAGATATGCAGCTTTCATTTTCTGGACCATCAATAAACATAGTTTGTTTTTTCACCTGACTTTGGAAATGTCTTCTTCAGTGTTGGCAGTGTGAGTAGCAGGCATTTCATTTGGAACTTCTTTATCTCAAATCTTGATTCTGTTTTCAAAACTAATTTTGATCTGTTCACATTATTAAGGGTTGTTTTTCTTTGTTCTGATGCTGCTCAGAGGCCTTTGGAATCGGGGTGGCTTATAAGTACCATGACAGCCAGTTTGATGTATGGTTAAGGCACCAAACTAGAAACCAGAAGACCATGAGTTCTAGTGTCATCTTAGGTTCAAAGCCAGCTGGGTGACCTTGGGCCACTCACTCTCTCTCAGCCCTGGGAAACAGTCAATGGCAAATCACTTCTGAAAAACTTTGCCAAGAAAACTGCAGGGACTTGTCCAGGCAGTCACCAGGGAGCCAGGTCTGACATGAATACCAAAAAAAAAAGTTATTGTAATATGCATCACATACATACATTGATTATGTGCTAACAAGTTATTTTCGAATCCTAGCAACCACATAGATCTTCTCCATGACACATACATAAATACATTTTTAAAAATTCTTATTTTTTCTTTGTTTCGATGCTCCACACCAGTGTTTCTCAATCTCAGCAACTTTAGGATACGTGGACTTCAACTCCCAGAATTCCCAGCTCTACACCATCTAAATCAGTGTTTCTCAAACTTGGCAATTTTAAGTTAAATGGACTTCAATTCCCAGAATTCCCTGCTGGCTGGGGAATTCTGGGAGTTGAAGTCCACACGTCTTAAAGTTGACAAGGTTGAGAAATACTGATCTAGAGTCCTTTAGGACTGGGATGAATTATAAGTTACCTTATAAATCACAATATTACCTTCATGCAGAACCTGCTCAACTTACACAATCTAACAGGGAGATTATGCTCCAGATATTTACCCCGAAAGACATCAGGGGGCTGGACCCAGAGCTCTACTTTCTCAGTCACAGCCCCTCCCTCTGGAACACCTTGCCTCACCCAGCATGCTGCCTGGGGAATTTTGGGAGTTGAAGTCCACACATCTTAAAGTTGCCAAGTGTGAGAAACACTGCCCTAGACAATCACCTGGTTTAAAAATATATATATATTTTTTCAAAGGATGAACAAGGGATGTGGCAAAGCCCAGCCTCAACCTTCCACAATGACCTCAGACATCCTTAGAATGTACAAATGGCTGATGGCCAATTGCCAGTATAAAGTAGGGAAAATCAGAGAACATCTTGTGTAGCTAGAGTGGGGTTCTTGGTTAGCCTTAGCGGTTTGTCTTCTGATGAATGTTTTATGAATGGTGCACCCATGTGGCAGCCATGTTGTGAATGGGGAAGTCCTACAATGGTATTCATTTTGTGAATGAGCAACTTTGCAATGGCAGCCATTTTGTGAATGGTGCACCCACGTGGCAGCCATTTTGTGAATGGGCAAGTCTTGCAATGGTGGCCATGTTGTGAGCGAACCCAATACCTAACCTCAAAATAATGAATGTGTCTGCTGGTCCAAAAAGCTTGGCTTGTCCCCAATTAATGGATATCTGGAACATTTGGGGGAGGGATAAATGGCTAATTTGCAGGGGTGGCACCAAACTTACCTCTTCTACAAAAAATATCTTCCCTTGCAATAATATGCCCCTTTGAAAAGGCATATTCAACAGAGCTGAAAGAATTCATTCTTGTCTCTAACGGAAACTTTATGAAATACCTGCTAATTCTGCCAAAATTACAACTCCCCAAATACAAACTACTAGAGGCATCTTTAGCAGCAGGAGTAAATCAGTGATAAATTACAGCATAAACACATTTGAAGGTGGAAGACTACTTTGGCTCTGCGGGTGGATGGAAGCAAGGTTAGCCATTTGCTTAAAGAATTCAATAGCTGTTAGAAATGTTTCTCTCCATAATACTTAATGAACTTCTGGAACTCCCACCCATAAAAGTTACCCAGCAATTGTAGGTCAGGGCTAGAGCTATTGAAAACCAAATGGAACCTCACCGCTCTGAAGCAGTCTACCTCAGAATAACACGCCAAAGAGAAAGGGCCGTTTCCCCATAGTGCTGTTCAAGGGGGGACCGGAAGATCAGAGGAACCTTTGTTGCAATCCAGACGGGGTTTTCTTCTGTGAAAAGACTGGCATGCAAATCCTCTGATGCCTGCACCAGAAGGTTGCATTTATCGACTATAAAAGGAGAGAATAGCTTTGCATTCCTTGAGGTTTTGCGTAGGATTTGGTTTTGTGATGCTTTTGGCGTACAGCTGGGGGCATCACCAGAACCAGAGCCACCAGGAGGGCCTCTGGTTTGGAAGCTC